TGTGTAATATTGTTAAGGGCAAGTATTAGAAACTGAATTATAGCAAATTATATTCCACACTTTTATAGTTATGGAGGCTGTGAGCAACTTAGTGAGACCCTGTCTTAAAATAAAAAATAAAATAGGCTGGGGTTGTAGCTCAGTGGTTAAGCACTTCTGTGTTCAATCTCTGGTACCATAAATAAATAAATACATCCTAATGTTACATATAACTAAAAAGAATCAATTAAAAAAAAGAGTTTCTCTTCCTCCACACTTAAAAAAAAAACAACGGTGTAATATTTTCATGGAATCCATACATATCTTCCTATGTACTTGAAATCAACTATAGATTACTTAAATGCTCTATAGGAAATAAGGGCAAGAAAAAAAAAATGTATGTGTTCAGTACAGATGCAATTTTTTAAAAAAATATTTTCAATCCTCCATTGGTTTAATTCACAGACACAAAACCTGCAAATACAGAGGGTTGACTTTCCACAGTTTTGTAAGAATCCCTGAACTCTCGTTTTCTTTCTGAGATTTTGTGAAGTCTCTTCTAATCATTTTACTGATATTGTATTTTAAGTTTTCTTACGTAAGTTTATTGTGGTGTGTGTGTGTGTGTGTGTGTGTGTGAGAGAGAGAGAGTCTACAATGTTCCTTATTCCAGATGTGGATTGTTCCATTTGTCACATGAAACAGAATCTTTATACATTTTTAAAATATGTCATGACATTTGTAAGAAAATAAACATGTTTCTCCTTAACATAAATAATAAAATCAAGTTAGAAAATGAGTATCATTTTATATTTGTTCTCAATTAGCATTCTACTATCACCCATAAGTAATAGACTGATTTCTTTTTGTCTTTTATATTATATTATAGCTTGTATAGCCATAATTTTCAATTTTACCTATTTGGTGCTACTTTACATCACTCCTGCATAGACAACACTTTAAAATCTCACCTCATCAGAGAGTGTCTGGTACAGTTCTGTTTATTTCTTTAGATTCCCTTTCCTTTTTATCCTCAAGATAAATGCGAATTTAAATTGATATTGAATTGATCGAGAATATGAATGGTAATTGTACCAAGAACTATATATTTTGGTAATTTTACATCATTTAAAGAATATTTCATCTTTTAGTATCTCAAGTGATGAAACCTGCCTTTCTAAAGTCTTGGGTATATGTCAAAACATTTAGTTTTCCTGACTGTGGCCAGGTAAAATTAACAACGGAAATTCTCAGGTTGCATGAACATTTCCTATAAAGTTATAATGATTTCTTTAGGAAATGCAGCCATTATCCTATTATGGAATTCAGGGACACCAGGTCTCTATTATAGTTTTAGGATTATATTTCTCATTCACTCATGTGCACTTGGTAAGTACTTACCATGTACCAGCCAATATTCGAGGTGGATTATAACAATAACCAAGATGTGGCCCCTATTTTTAAGAACCTTTCGGTCTAAAAGATAACATTATTGTACTAATAATGACAGCTAAAACATCACATGCCAGGTACTCTTTTAAATGTTTTATAAACTAACTCAATTATCAGCAATACTTTGAGTTAGGAACTATTATTATATCTGTTTGAGAGCTGGGAAAACCTGACACTATTTAATTATTAGTTAACTGCTAATGATTCTAGGAAGTTAATCACTTGGGATTTGAACCCCAGTGGTCCAACTCAGGGGTCAAGTTCTTACCACTGTATGATTCTGCCCATCTACATACCTGCATTATAATTTCAGATGCACTTTTTGTTATCCCTATCCTGTGTTTTCATATACTTCCTAGAATCCTTAAATTTAAATGGTTTATTACTTATTTGATTTATGTGACTTACAAATACTTGACTTTGTTTGGTTTATTTTTTTCTCCAATATCATCTGCACTCCTTGATCTATTTGTAGATTTATATTTCTAATTTATTTCTTCTCTTTTCTGTGATTGATCTCCATATCCTCAGATACTTTATTAATCTAATTTCTAATAATATTTTTTCTCTTTAGTTTTTTTACCCTCATATTGTTGTCTTCTGGGTGCATCTGCTTACTAGCCCCAAATACTCATCCATTTTAATAATATTTGAGGACTAAGTTCCAGCGTGGGGACTGATCATATATCAAAAGGCTAGGCTGGACAAGTTGCATCAGAATGGCTGCATCAGGAACACAGACCATCAGGAACACACGGAAGGAAACATCTCAGCAAGGCCAGAGAGAGTTGGGGAAAGCACATAGTAAGACTCACTTTCCAGGCTCTGCAATGCAAGCTGCCTCCTTATAGTGGGAATTTAAACTGCTCCCCTAAATCCTTTTTCTCTTTTTCCAGAAAAGGGTTAGATTTTCCTAGTTTCCTTGCAGCTAGGTATGGCTAGTGATGAGCTTCTACACCCCAGAAGATGAGTAGAAGTGGTGTTGGAAGTTTTGGATCAAGGCTTTTGAGAAACCCAAAGATCCCTCTATGTTCACATTCCACCAGTGCAGTTGGATGTTGATGATAGAAATGTCCCATAGAATGGCAGTGCCACAATATTAGAAAAGGCTTGTCTCTAAATTATTTTGTGGAAACATCATTTGCCAATCTAGAATGCATATTTAAAACTTGACACGAATGAGAAATAAACTTCCTTTGTGTTTGAACCACTGTGTGTGTATCCAAATGTACTTACTAAAACAGCTTGCCTGAGTCTAAGTTTATATACCTAGACACTATCCAGGGGGAGCAGTCAGACGGGAAGGCAAAATAATTGACAAAATATTTGAACTTTTAATGGACTGAATGTAAATCCTGACTTCACTGAATAAATTCCCAAGCTAACATCTCAACAACAGAAAAACAACCCAATTCAAAAATAGATAAAGGACCTGGAGAAACATTGCTCCAAAGAGGATAGGCAAATAGCCAATAAATAAATGAAGAGATGCTGACCATCACTAGTCATTAGGAAAATGCCAGTAAAAATCACAGTGGGACACCATCTCCAACCCATTGGGATGGCTACTATCAAAAAATCAGAAAATGCTGGTGGGGACCTAGAGATACAGGAACTCTTAATGCTCTGTTAGTAGGGATAAAAAATTAAATATAAAGTTATGATCCATGTGATACAGCAATTCCACTTCTGTGTGTGTATCCAAAATAAGTGAAAGCAGGAACTTAAGCAAATATTGGTACATTCATGTTCACATCATCAATATTCACAATAGCCAGAAGGTGGATGCAGCTCAAGTACTCATCAATGTATGGATGATAAGCAAAACTGTCCATATAATGGAATATCACTTAGTCTTAAAAAGGAAGAAAATCTGACACACCTGGATGAACTTTAAGGATATCATCCTAAGGAAAATAAACCAGACACAAAAGGATAAATATTTTATGATTCCTTTTATATATGAGACTCAGAACAGTCAAAAAAGAAAGGAAGTAGATGCAGTCATAGAAAATATATACGTGTGGGATATAATGGGTGTGTAAATGTAACATGGAGAAAGTAAAAAGTGGTTGCCAGGGGCTGGGGTGGAGGATATGGCCAGGTGTTGGTGTTTAATAGAAACAGAGTTTTAGCTTTGTAAGATGAAAAGTTTTGGATCTGGATGGTGATGATGGCTGCACAGCAATATGAATGTATTTAATGAGAATAAACTATACACTTTGAAATGGTTAAAATAGCCAACTTCATGTTATGTGTGTTTTACCACAATAAAAAAAAAATACTGAAGTAGACGAGTTAAATTAGAAGTCAAGTTATCTCAAAATGGCAAGATTGCATATTTTTTTTGCAGTGGAGTGGAAATGATGAAACATGGATAAGTTGAGCTCACTTTCTGTACACAAATTGAAGTGTTTTTATAGATAGGAGTATAATAGGATCTCAAATACCAAAGTACATGGTATTTAATAAAGATGAGTTGTTTAATAAAGCTTTTATTTGTGTTAAATGTATGTATGGATTTGTCGTAGGACATTCAAAAGCCATTGTCAGTGTCACTGTTTCCACTGATTCATTTAAACCAGTCACATGACTGTGATGTGAATTACTCCGAGAGATTAATAAGCATACATAGAAATTTTTAAAATGTGCTGCAAAAGTATAGTAGTAATTGCTTTTTGGCCCCAAGCACTTAGTTTTACCCTACTCTTTCATCGATTTTTTTGTCTATTGAGAGACATGCTTCAGTTATTCCAAGAACAGGGACTAATATTTTAACCCCATTTCTTCTCTTTGCTATTTTCCCATAATCACTCTTTAACCTAGATACCAGAACCATGTCCCTGGTAGGACCTACTCACTGGACCAAAAGGATGGAATATGTACGCATCATAATGGGCATTTAGTTCTGCTATGATGTGAGCAGTGATTCACGAGATAATTCTGGAGCAGTTCTGGCACAAGCTAAGTTATTTATTCTGACTGATTGTGGCAAGCTGAGTAGCTAGGAGTGTCTTTTGAAAAGATGATAAGGAAGCTACCTCAAATTTCCCCATCTCAACCCCAGTATCCTCCTCCTGTTCCTTCACCCTCTCCTCACCCAACACACCTTCCTTCCCTATCTCCTCAGTCTTCCAGCCCTAAGCCTACTCTCCAGTGCAAAGCACCTATCTCCCTCCCTCCTCTGATTAATACTGTCCCTTCCCTCCACCCTACCTTAAGTTCCTCCATGCCCAGCTCTTCCGCTGTCCCTTCCAGACCACCCACTCGCCACTCTGTTCATCTAGCTCCCCTTTCCTGTTATTCCTTCATCTTTGCCCCTACTCCTCCTCCTAGCCCTTCTTCCTAGTCCCTATTTTCTAACGCCCACCAACAATCCAGCCATCCCCAACTAGACTGGATGATCAATAAGTCTCCTCCTGGGGGATTATTTCCTACTACTGGTGCAGTTCAGAATGTCCTGGACTATGGTTTCCTAACAGACTGACTTGGTGAAGATGAGGAATGCAGGACAAGGGCAAGCCAACCATTAGCCTAGACATTTCTCTGTGGATTTCCTTGTTGGCTAGGTCTCTGTCTCTGATGGTGGTTGAGAAGAAATCCAGAAATTTCAATAGAAATCCACCCGCTGAGGACACGATCTTCAGAAAGCCCATGTCTTGGCTCAAGAACTTGGAGGAACCTGCATATGGACTCACTCTAATTCACCATGCTGCCAGGAACCAAAGGAAAAAATGCCCAGAGACAGACTGAAATTCCAGAAATTGGATGGGACTCAGAGCCTTTGGCCTCCCCAAATTCCATGATTACAGGTTGAACCATTTTGGGGTCCACAGTGGACAACACTCTCTACAAGGCTAAAACGTGGAGCTTAGGAGATGATCACAAATAGCATTCCAGCAAGTGGCATCAGTCTTTGGATTGAACCCTGAACTGTGCACCTTCCAGATAAATATTTTTTTATTAAAAATTAAAATTAAAATATTTTTTAAATTTAATACTAATTGTCTCTGGATTGTGAGAATATGGCTGAATTTTGTCATCTTTTCTTTATTTTTCTAAAATATCTGCAGTAAGTCTTGATTTTATAACAATTGTAAGAAGCAGAGATGGAATTGAAGTTAACCAAGAGTGTTTCTTTCATTAGGAGGCAATGGGGAGGACTTGTGGGAAGCATTTCTAGTGTGATGGTCAGGCTATGTGCCAAGGACACCAAGACACAAGAGACTCAGTACCCACTTTGGGGAACTAACAGACCTGTGGACAGAAAAGGACAGCATATCCCAGAGAACACACAAATACTCTCTGGAAGGAGCCGGGGCATCAGCCCTCTCTAGTTCAGGGTCCATGGTCCACATGTTGAGTACCCAGGTCTAGGTTCTACAGCTCCCCTTCTTTATTCAGTTTCCTTGTGTTGGAGTTCTGTGGGGGTGCAGAGCTTACCTTGTGCTCAGACTCTTCCTCTCAATTGGCCCTGAGATGTGGATGTTTCTGGTAGATGTTCTCTCAAGATATGACTTTGTCCTTAAGTCCCTTCCCTCAGTAACACACTGTAGCCATGAACAAGCAACAGCCACCTCTGAGCCATCCAGGATCCCACCATCCATCTAGTTACACACTTGTTCACCAGAGCAGGTGCACAAATGAGAGTGTGAAGTACCATGAGATCATGCCCCAAAGGTGCCTGATAAGGAGTACAGGTTGATAGGAAGGAAAGGCCAAGAGTACAGAGGCCTCCTTAGCTACCCCAGAAGTCCCTAGGCTTCTTTCATGATGGAGCTGGGGAGGTCAGGGAAAGTCTTTAAGAAGGGTGTGAAAGGGAAAGACTACTATTTTTGGAAAACCATCTGTCAGCTGATAGAAGTCAGAGTAAAGCAAACCATACCCAAAGTCTGGGAGTCTGTTAGGAGCTGGGCTTTGGCAGGAGCCGGTGGAAAGAAGGATTTGGAATGAACACAAGTCTCCATTCCTGGATGGTGAAGATTTGCTTCACGTGAAAGGGCTATGAGATCATTTTTTTCCCCAATTTTAATGTTTATTATAAAGGCAGATTCTATTCACCCAAAACCAGTTAGAAATCACTGCAAAAAATCCATTTGGGAAAAGAAAAAGCATTAATCAAGTACTTTTTTCTTTAAAGATGGGGAAAATACTATTCTGAATTTCCTAGTTATATTCAACTTCAAAAAGTCAACAATTCGGGCTGGGGATGTGGCTCAAGCGGTAGCTCGCTCGCCTGGCATGTGCGCATGGCGCTGGGTTCGATCCTCAGCACCACATACAAATAAAGATGTTGTGTCTGCCAAATATTTAAAAAATAAATATTAAAAAAATTCTCTCTCTTTAAAAAAAAGTCAACAATTCATGAAAAGGTCTTAAGGGAATGCTTCTCTCTCTCTCTCTCTCTCTCTCTCGAGAGAGAGAGAGAGAGAGTATCAGTAAAAACTAGTAGATATTTATTTTGTCCTTTGGCCCATAATTCTTTTTTTATTTCTTTTTTTTTTTGTTTTTTAATTTCTTTTAATTAGTTACACATGACAGTACAATGACCTTGACATATCATACATTTGAATCAGATGGGATATAATATCTCATTTTTCTGAGTATACAGGTTGCAGAATCACATTGGTCATGCATTCACATATATACACACAATAATAATAATGTCTGCTTCATTCTACTATCCTTCTTATCTCCCCAAACCCTCCCCTCCCCTCCCATTTTTTGAAAGACACAACTTCATAGTGTTGACGCTATGGGTCTTGACCCATTAGAGGGTCAGATGACTAATTAGGTTGAAATCAGCATTTCATTTACAGGTTGAGCATACTTAATTTGAAAAGTCCAAATCTAAAACTGTTTTAAGTGCTGACATGAGACCTCAAGTGGAAAATTCTATACCTGACCTTGTATGATGGGTCACAATCAAAATACAGGGGTACTGAAAATACTCTGTAGAATTATCCTCAGCCTATGTGTATAATAATTTCATGTTTAGACTTGGTTCCTGTCTGAAAGATATCCCATTATATATATGCAATATTTCAAAATCCAAAAAATAATTTAAAATATGAATCATTTCTGGTCACAAGCATTTCTCATAAGAGATTCTCAAACCTGTATATGAAAGAGAATTGTCCAGGAAATTGCAAAGTACATGAGAGATAGTGAGGACAAGTGTTGTTTACTGTTTCAGGTGCAAACACACATATACACATTTACACACATAGCACATACACATACATATATACTCATACATGTACACATACACTATATACACACAAGTGCACAGACATATATGCTCATACACACATTTCTACACACACACACACACACATTTTTCAGAGTCATTGCTCCCACCCATGAAGCCCACAATGGAGAAAACACCACTTATTGGTCTGAGGCAGCCACCCACCTTCTGGTCCACTGAGGTGTGGCAGGTTCAGCTTTTATACAGGAAGCACACAAGGAGAAAAGCCTTACCCAAGGGAAGGTACAACCTCCCAGGGCAAAGACTTGAAAGGGTCAGGGAGATGGTGCACTTCCTGCCACCTGCCATAGCCAACATGTTGACTATCTCCACAGACCAGCCCAGTACAGAAACAGATAGCTAATCAATGGGTGTGTATCTTCTGTTTCTTCTTTTTGTCTTTTTCTGAGCATCATGCTCCAAGAGCCTGTGTGTGTGTGTGTGTGTGTGTGTGTGTGTGTGTGTATCCATCCTGACTCAATTCTTTTTTTAAAAAATATCTTTTTTTTGATGCAGGAATTTTGGCTGAAATTTATGAGTTTGTAATTAAGAGACTTGTGTGTGTATGTGGGGGGGACATATGTGTCCGTAGATTATGCATTTTATGCACACAAAGGACACACTGGAGACAGTGACTGAGGCAATGAAGAAGTAGAGCTGATTGAAGTAAGCAGACCCCTCTGAGCAGCAGAGTTCTCCCTGAAAACATCCTGTCCTAATTTCTGCACCTAGAAAACCTGCCAAGAACAGCTCAAATATTTCTGCGTTCCCAGGAGTTGCCTGGAGAGCTAGCCACTATCATTGGTGAGTTGTGTACCGGCAAAACCACAGTGATTTGCGGAAGGGGTTTCCAATCCAACAGATGAAAGAATAGCCCAACCCTCTTTCAGAAAGCAGCAGGAGGGAATACACATCACACAAGAGAGCAGGAAGCTGACATTCCACACCCAGCACTTTCTAGCTGAGTATTAACAGCAAATTACTTAACTTCTCTGAGCCTTGGGTTTCTCATCTTTAATTGGGAGTAATTATAACTGCCCTACCAGCCTCTGAGGGTAGTTGCAAAAGAGTGTTGCAAATGCAAATCACAATAGCAGTGGGAGCTTTATTATTATTATTATTAATCCTAATAACAATCTTGCAAGACAGGCAAGGCTCAGAGTCATTCGTATTTTATAAATGAGGAAAGAGGTTTGGCTATATTAAAATGATTCATTTGGTGTCATAAACTGCCTGGAGGAGGAACAAACCAGAACCCAGGTCTTCCAATACTCAGTCTTATGTTATTTTCCCTACAATACAACAAGGGGAGAGAAGGTAGTGACCTTCAAATGACATTTTATTATTTCTGGTTGATAGATTAATGTAACCAAAGACTATTGACAATTAGATCTTTTTTCCCCTTCTATACCTTTATACAATGTACTCAAATTTGCTTCTATAATAGTTTTTATTGAAATTATATATAGCTCTAGTCTATATATAAGATCTTGTAGCCCAATGACCAGAAAAGACAGAAGAAAGTACACCAAGTAATCTTGTAAACAAGTAAACAAGTAATCTTGTAAACTGCTTTTTGAGAGTAAACTTTCTAAAGTCCTTGTACCAAGTGATACCATAATTTCATATATATATCCAAACAAATATAGACATACAAATGTACAATTCAAATGTATATACATATATATTTGATTTTTGATCCAGTTTATGCTAATTGCAAAAGACCTGTGGTTTATGAAAATCCTCTCTAGCCGGATAAAGGGATGATCAGTCATTTATCTGGACATGATGCCCAGCACATAGTTGGTGCTTAATAACTATGTATTGAATAAATGGGTTGTTTAGTAAATCTGGAACTATTGATTTTAAAGGTATAAAAAGGATATGGATAAGGTCTAGGCCTGGATTTTAATCCTGGCTAAGTCATTCACTAACTATGAGATCCTGGTTTCTTCATTTAATCTCCCTAGATTTCACTTCTTCTATAACATAAAAGCAATGGCCAATAGGTTTCTGCTCAAATATCAGCTGCAGTTGGTTGGTGGTAGCTGGTAGAAAAGAGCATGGTCAGGCTCTGGGAAGGACAGCCCAGATGGAATGATATTGTCTTCCTGGGCACTGGTCTTGGATGGAAGTTTACATGCTAGACATTAGCCATCACTGGACTGAGTCATCTCTAAGACCTTTTAGCTTTATGAATCAAGAAGGGTGCTTGGATTGGTAGAAGCAGAATTTTAGAATTAACTCACTTAGCTCTGTGTAATTTCTGTTTTATGTCAGAAGCTTCTTTTCTCATGGTCTTGGGATCCAAGAAATAAAAGAATCAGAGACCTTTACTCTGGGCCATAACCAGTGCTACTTTATAGGCTCAGAAAACTCCCTGAAAGTTCTTCCAGCATCCTTAGGAAGTAAAGAGAGTTGATTGCTTAGGACAATATTAGTTTTCTACTTTATGGAGAGAGTCTTTTGAGTCATAACAAGTACAATTACTTGCTTTAGGTCATTTGTAGGTCTTGGTGTATAATTTAGGTCACTTAACTTGTTCATGTTTTCTTTGCCCATAAAAGGAGCTATGACTCATTCAGTACCTTAACAAGCACAGTATCAGTACTTCACCACCTACATTCTCTAGTGTCTCCAGG